TCATGGATACTATGTAATCCGGACATGGTGCTTTCCACTCGTTTATCCTCACAATACGACCAAGAAGCTAAGGTAAGTTCAAACAATCTCGATACTACGTAAAGGAATCGTGACAATACTATAGGCCGTACTGACGAGCGACGGATAGGGTTTAGCTTTCACTCGATCCGGGAGAACGTAAACTTTTGGAAGCTAGCCTAAGGTGAACTAACTAGTATGAGAAGGCTTTTTTCGCCTTATATTTCCTTAATCTACCTTAGGTGAATTTTTTCCATATAAAAGATCTGATAGTCTGTCTATAGCAAGCTTGATATGTACTACTAAATAAAAAATAAATAAATTTAAAGAGAGAGAAAACAATGGCATGCGCTCACCATTAATCCATTGTTTATTTTGATCCTCTGATCTTAAAGAGCATACATAGATAATTTTTTTTATAAAATCCAGGGACCTTAATATTTTATGTCTATTCGGGCGTTTGTTACTTTTTTTTAAAAAAAGATCTCGCTCAAGTTGGCAATATCGTATTCATTATTGGCCTTAAAATGTCTATATTTCATGTAGTAGATTCTGCCATCTCAGCAAACATTTGGAAATTGGCTTTTATTTTCACATAACAATTTCTTCGAAGATATGAAGACCAAGATGGTGCAGCCCTCAGTATGGTCGCAATCTCCTTTCGATGTTTAGAAGTGGGTTGACCTTGTTTTCTCAACTTGGTATTGTTGTCAAGGTGACTTAGTCGGACGCATCAAATCAGAAGTTGTGATAAGACGGGAGTTTGATAAGAGTAGATAGATGGACGAGGACTGAAAGCACAACCGTTTCGGCAGAAAGTTGATCAAAGGACTGACTTCACTTGTTTCTTTGACGAGTTTTAGCTGGAAGTGGTGCTGAGAATGGCAAGATTCACTGGCGATGCAGACTACCATGCTGGTGAAACTTCTGAGAATATACCAAGTCCACGGTCTGTCGCTCTGATTTATGATAACTACTATAGCAGAGACTTCGGACAAGGTGCGTCCAACTAAGTCGCCCTGACAACATGACCAAGTTGCGAAAACAAGGTTAATCCACTTCTTCTTTCTCTCTTTATATACTTATATGATGCCTTTCTTAATTGTACTGGTGAACTAGTAGATATGACTTCTTAAAGCCAGCAACACGACAAATGTGTTAATCTGCCCTGAGTAGACATTTTGATAGATTTATTTATTTTCCGGCTCTTATTCTATTGGTGATAATTGTTTTATTCTTTATTTATATATAGCTGATGTGCATAAAGCTAGCAATATTCAGTCATTCCTGCCCACCATAGTAGCTGTAGCCACTGTTCCCTTACCAGGTAAGGAATACTTTTATTCATCTGTCTTTCTATATTTTACTCATACTCCGCTAGTCTACAATTGCGACGAAATTTGTTATTTTCATGTAATTTTACATGGACTGGTAATAATTTTATCTCTTATGAAAGTATGAATACAACTCATTTTTATGGTTTTCTGGTAGCCTCGAAAATCTACTCACGAAAAAAAGTAATGCCCTCGATTACTATAGCAAATATAAGTTTTTTTTATCGGCAATTCCACACAGAATGTGATATGGAAAATGCCTGACGTTCATTACAATTCACATCTGCCCCGTGACCCAAGAGCACTCTTGGCAATGACGCTGCACCGTCAAGGTTCGACTTCCGCTTAGGCTGTTGCTAAGACATATGCGAGGTCGAAACTGCAGTCCACTCTGGATGAGAACGCCTTTTGGGAAAGCAAGGCTATGTGAAATTTAATGGGAACAGCAGTTCTACTCATAGCATTATATACATATATATATATATATATGATTTACTGGTGGTCTCGGAAAGATATCTACTTACGATTAAAGAAAAAGCTTTCTTTTGCATTTAATTAGCTGACATGTGCATTCCAGTAGACTATCTTCGTCAAAGTTTCGTAGCCAAAGTGGCTTGCTACTGCTTAAATGTTAGATCTTTTTGTATGTCGATGGAATTTGGATCTTTTAAATTCGTGTGGCATCTTTGTCCTTTCGCATCTATGGCTTAAATCTCGTTAGGTGTTTTGAGGAATTTAGACCAGGTCTATACTGCACTTCATTGCGAACTAGAACAAAATTTTGATATGCCTAGTAAACTCCATCACGAAATCATGCATTCTTGACTCCTTTATGGATAAAATCTAAATCATTCCCCTCAAATATGTAGTAGTGGAGTTTACTATTAATTACTTTGCCTCCTGTTAGAAATTGTTAAGCTTTTAACAAAGCTCATCTACTTTGTATTTGGCCTCCCATTTTTCTTTGAAATTTTATGCTTTCTTAATGGTTGCATACTTTTTTACTATTTGACACACTGGCTGCTAATTTCTTAATCCATTTTGCTTAATTGTTTAAATGATTGCTTCTTGTTGATTCCTACTCTAATCTAATTTTGGTGTGATTTTCTAATAGATATTTGCTTAATTTTTTTCACAGCAGAGTATAAAGAAATTTGGGACTTAATTCTTGTTTTTTAAACACACTTAATCTGCTTATAAATGCAGCACGGGCATACATAACTGTTAACAGATCTGTAGCCTATACTCATACTCTTTTTTGCTTCTGAATAGGAAAGTATATTTCGAGTTTTCGATGCAACTGAATTCAGAAAGCATCTTATGATGATCTTTAGAAAATAAAACCAATAATAATTCGTCCAATCCATTAGTTCATATAGTTTATATAAGTTAAATTTTAGTTCACTGTTCATTTGCTAGATGAGATGTTTACGCTGAGTTGAGCAAAAGATTAATTTTTATTGGCGTACTTTATCCTAACTTTAATCTAAAAGCAGTTTTTTCTAGAAAGCACTACAACTTCGGACTATTGGTTTTACCACTGTTTCCAACAGGGAGTTGAATTCTACATTTCATTAGTTTTATGGTAATAGGACTTAGTAGTTCTTTGGTCA